TATTTTCAAAAACCAGAACATGGGGGAAAAAAACTATATAAAACGTTTCAAATCAATAACTAACAAATTATATTCAGTAAAAACACAAGTGAAAATCTTTCAAACAATACATGAAAAAAACTATATAAAACTGTTTGAATCAATTACTAACAAATATATTCTGTAAAACCACAAAGTGAAAAGGTGAACAAAAATAAAGTAATTTTTGTGAAAGAACAAGTGATAAAACAACTATATACAGAAACTATTGTTCATTTGACACTTTAAAGTTCAACTGTTTAGGGAGAGATTAAGTTAGCTAGCAGCCTGCGCTAACGGGCTAACGCAACGATGCTAGCTGTTAACCCGTTAGCGCAATGCTAACGGGCTAAGAATGGATACGCTGCTAAGAAGCTGTTTCCTTCAATGTGTAAATTAATATCAGTTGTCACGCAAGTAAACAGTCTATGAACAAACTCAAACGGTGTGTTATACTTTGAACAAGAGTTAATTTGACACTTTAAAGTTCAACTGTTTAGGGAGAGATTAAGTTAGCTAGCAGCCTAGCGCGTTAGTGCAATGCTAACACGCTAAGACTGGATACGCTGCTAAGAAGCTGTTTCCTTTAATGTGTAAATTAATATCAGTTCTCACGCCAATAAACAGTCTATGAACAAACTCAAAGGTGTGTTATACTTTGAAAAAGAGTTAATTTGACACTTTAAAGTTCAACTGTTTAGGGAGAGATTAACTTAGCTAGCAGCCTAGCAGCGCTAGTGCTATGCTAACGGGCTAACGCAAAGCTGCTAGCTGTTAGCCCGTTAGCGCAATGCTAACGGGCTAAGACTGGATACGCTGCTAAGAAGCCGTTTCCTTTAATGTGTAAATTAATATCGGTTCTCACGCCAATAAACAGTCTATGAACAAACTCAAACGGTGTGTTATACTTTTAAAAAGAGTTCATTTGACACTTTAAATTTCAGGTGTTTATGGATACATGAACTTACCTAGCATTAGTCAGAGCAGAATAAATCTCCTGGGCTTGGTGTGACGCATCTGCTAATATTGATGCGTTCAAGGACACTCAAATGCTATAGTTACCAATGAAGAACGCTGGAAAGGGGAGACTAAATTAGAGTATTTTTTGTATTTATGTTATATATTTGTTTAATAATTTAATTTGTTCACAGTGTACAAATGTGAGTGGTCAGGATCCATTATCAAAAACACCGTCATGCATAAAGACTGACATGCAGAAAGAGCCTTGAACCATGTCAGTTTGAGTGATGACATCATCGTGTTCAATTACACAGGTGTTTGTATTTGAGCTAATGAGGGTTATGGCTAGAAAGGATCCGTCTAGTGTAAATATGACGTCACGTTCTCGTTGTAATCGGAGCGGCTCGGAAACACATCTACAGCAGTAACATGATGCAACGATACACATTAATGCAGCAGCAATATTAATAGAGAAACATCAGACTTAATAGTAAAACACTACAAGGGAATATTTTATTGCACCAGGAGCTATCTTGGGACTTTTACTGCCAACTGATGTTAACGATCGTAACTGCCTGCCAAACGTAAACATTCAGCCACGTGACATTCAGCCAAACTCTCGCGAGAGTTTTACACAAGACGGATCCTTTCTAGCCATAACCGCTAATGAGGCGTCCAGAGATCAAAGGTTTCCATTGTTCTGGATGAGAGATAAACCTCTTACATGTGAACGTTTTGTGGAAGAACCGTAACAGATATTTGTGAAATTTCAAAACGTGAAGCATGTCAAGGAAGTTGAGTATCTGAAGTGTAATTTTTGTGTACTTTCGGGTTAATAATGTGGCCTTTTTGGCAGTTTAACTAAAGGTGTGCGGCTGCTGCTGTGAGGAAATATCTGCCTGAAATTACAATGGGCTGACATGTTGAACGTTTTTGTCACTTCATGCCCTCAAGAGGCACTTTGTTTAATTATTTTTGCTTAATTATTTGTCATTTTTCAAGCTACGGGATGTTTTCCTACATTTGTCATTAAAAATCATGTCTCAGGAATGTAGGGTTTGGGAATTATGGCAGCTTTAAAAAAAAAAATGAAGGCAAATTTCAAACTGTCCTCCACTCTAACTCTGACATCACGCACTCTGCCTTAACGAGCTGTGCAATGTTAAAGTTCAAATGTTAAAAATGTGATGAATTATGGGATGTATCTCTGGAATTATGAAAGTTATGAATGAGAAAAGTAATAGCCATCGATTCCCGACCGAGCTGAACGTTTTGATGTTTGAACGGAGTTTCTGCGATGTTCAATGCGGGAGAAGAAGCGCGGCAAAATAAGTCGGCGGAATAATAAACTTTTCGTGCGTAGAAGAACAGTTAGTGAATGAATTACTCCTATTGAAAATGACACCTACCTGTCTTGGAGGTGATGCCCTTCTTTGTTGAGTCCAACTTCAGGTCAAAGCATACAACTGATCCGAAGATCATGAGAGACCAGACTGCCAGCTCCAGCAGGTAACACAGCCAGGAACACAGCCTAGAGTCTGAGCAGATCAAAGAGAGAGCGTGAGGAAGCTGTGGTGAGAGAACTTTGGCAGAATGGATAAACAACTAATGAAATTATATGAGCTGTTATGTTTATCATACCATTGTTGCTGATCTTGTCTGCCTTGCGTAGCCAGAAGTTTACATGCTGGTCGTCCAGCAGCGACAGACAGAGAGCCAAAGTCAGCAGGTTGAAGAAATTGTAGTTGCCGGACAAAATGATGAGCACTTGGAGCAACACCTTCAAAAGAAAAAATAAATCCAGATCAATGAATAATTTATTCTGCAGCACAAACCAAGCAGCTACTTGAGAGGAGTACAATATATTTTAATAAAGCATAATGCTTTAGAGGCAAACTGACGCTCATTTCAGATTTCAGTTTGTGATAGCACACCCTTTTTCACCTACCTGCAAGTAAAAAGCCCCGATCCGGAGTCTGCGCTGAGGACTGAAGAAGAGCAGCGGTACAACGATCTCTATGACGAAGGTCCCCACCACACTCAGCTTCTGCCACCACAATGGCAGCTGGTGGGCAAACCAGGCCAGGGAGGTGGGGAGACACTGCGTCTCGTAGTGATACGTCAGAGCTGCTCAACACACACAAACAAAAAGTCTTTACCTGAGAAAAAACCAATGCTGTATCATTTGAACGCGCTGTAGTCAGTTTTAATCGGAAAAAGTCCAAATATAGTTTTCAAATTGTCGTAATATCATCTGGAGATGCAATGATTAGTCAAAAAACTGACGAGACAGACAGATTGACAGAAAAGTATATCGCCAGATATTAGGATATTTGATTATTATGCATAAAATGCTGTTTTCACCCAATCAAAGATGAAGATTTCCTTATTAATATCAATCTTTTTCATATTAAACTGAAAATCTTTGGGTTTAATACTGGAAAAACAAGACATTTATATCCTTAGAGTTGGAAAACTTTTATGAACGTTTATCACAATTTGTTGTCATTGTTTAGACCAGATTATTCATCAATTAATTGTTTGTCGCAGTTCCAATACCCTCTACACATACTCGCTACAATGGAAGTACAACAAAAAACAGACCCTCACTCCATCAGACTCTTATACATACCGGTAAGGCCCCACCATGTTGGGCAGCGGGACATGAGCTTCACCACACCAGAGGCAAACATGAGCCTGAACAGCAGCCAGCGGGTCAGCCAGAAGGTCAGGCGGTCGTGCTCTCGGACCCCTCGCGACCCTCTGAGTAACGTCAGTGGAGCCACAAGGATACAGAGGAACCCTGTCTCCAGGAGCAAGTTGTCCCTGGACAGTGAGAAGGATAAATTATTATATTGTTGGAGATATAGAGGCAATAGTTGTTGTCATTCTAGTTTGTATACAGTGTTGTTGAACAGCAGCAGAAGCATGTTAACAGTGGACTGAGGATGGCGTACACTTGACGGTAAACCGCTAAATCTTTCTTGGGATCTCTTTAGCCAACTGCTACTCAGAACACTATTGTCTTAATAACCAAAAAAGAAATATTGAGTTAAGTAAATCAAGTAACTAAATTGGGATATCTTTAACAGATTGCAGGCAAAAATGTAACTAGAAACAGACCTGAAAAAGTGTGTAATAAGATAATAGTTATAACATTAAGGATAACTTTATAACATTTTCGATTATGTCTTAATTCAGCAAATAAATTTAAAAAAGTCAGTTACAAGAGCAAAGTCTTCTATGTGGTTTTTTATTGGATAAGCTGTTAATGCTGAATGTGCAACATTTACTTTATTCTCATTGAAAAACTTTTTGTAAACTTAGAAAGAAATCATATATTTTTGTGGCTGCATCAATTTTTTCAAAGATTGAATTTAAGTAATCCGAAAGTAAATCCAGAAGTATTGAGATATCATTCCTTTTTTGTTTTGTATTAAATAATGTTTCTAATAAAACAAAATGACTTGTAATATGTATTCTGAAATGACTACATTTCAAAGTAATCTATCGAAAACTGTCTATAAATCATAACTCACCATTGAAAGTAGAGAAAAACCTGGCCCACCTGAAATGAGAAACAGAAGTGACAGATGAAAGAGAGAACACCTTGACAGATGCATGTGAAAGAAGACTGGGTGCAGTTAACGCTGTAAACTCACCTGGTACATGGACAGGTACAGGGCCCAAAGGCAGAAAAACACCACGCTGTCTCGCAGAGACTCCACCAGCGTTGCAGCGAAGCTCAGTGCGGCCCCCAGAAGACACAGCAGCTCCATGGCGGTGTGAGTGTCCACGCCGAGCTGAGGGCCAAACCACAGCAGGCTGGGGGAAGACAGCAGTTGCTCCCAGAGAGACTTACCGCTGTATTTTAGCTGCCAGCGCGCAGGCAGCAGCCCTTCATTTCCATAGAGACCTAGCAATAAACATGGGAAGCAACAATTAAATCAACATATACAGCTTAGGAATTTAAACCATTGTGATCCCTTTTGCTTTTTAAGGAGGAACTGCATTTTTTCACTCATTCATTTGCAGAGGTGGGAGAAATACTCAGATATTGTGAAAGTACCATAGTGTAGGAATACTCTGTTACAAGTAAAAGTCCTGCATTCAAAAGGTTACTCAAGTAGAAAAGTATTAGCATCAAAATATACTTAAAGTACCAAAAGTAAAAGTACTCATTCTGCAGTGGGTCCATTTCACAATAATGATATGTTTTGATGCTAATTTGTTTTTGTATTTGTTAAATAAACCTTCTTGTATCTTTTAGAAAATCCATCACTCCTACAGACTATAATCATGATCAATGCCTGCACGGTACAGACAAGCTAGTAATGTATAGTAGATAATATTAACAGTTTTATTTACATACCACTTTTCAAGCTTCAGAATTAGTGCTTCCCAGGTTAAAGAATTACAGAAAAATTATTATAAAACAGACAGCATAAAAGCATTTAATTTATTTATAAACAATAGACTGCTTTCTACATGCAAGTGTGTTTAACAACCCTAATAAAATAACAAATAAAATGTACATTTTTTTTAATTAATATATACTTATTCCTGTAATTGTTATGAATTAATTTAAAAATCATGCACCGGAAAATGATGTTGACACTGTGACTTATTGGCATTGCAAAGTGTATGTGTGGTCTCAACACATGGGCGAGAGCGAGGTCTTCTGGAGGGCTACTGATAAGGGCGTCATAAAACAGCGGGTGCGTGTGTGGTTACTGTAAAACTTTACATTAGTGCGTGTGTGCGTTTTCACAGCCGTTTTGCAGTCTCTCTGCAGATGTTAGCTCGTAAAGTTAGCCAGGAGTAGGAAACGCTTTTTGACTACAGCCCACTGAAACTTCCTCCTCTCCAAGAGAATACAAGTTGCCAGCTGAGCTAACAGGCTAACACAGACAGTAGTAGTAAGTTAGGAGAGCTAGCTTCCACACAGGCTGCAGAGTAGTGGGTCTCACCTGGTATTTGCACGTAGAGGGATACAAAGGCAGCCAGATAGATGACCGCCATGCTCCAGAGGAACATGCGCCGTGGCTGGATGATTTCCCCCATGTCTAGGCCGGGCTGCTGGAGGAGGAGAGCCGCTGCTTCAGGGCCGAGTTACCGCTGTCTGCTCCTGGAGCAGGAGGGGTGCAGGGCAGCAGGATTTGTTAATGTAGCCCGGGGACAGAGACACGTAGCGGTGAGCGATTCACACACACAGCCTGAGGATGTCGCTACCGCTGCTTTCAACAACTCTATGCTGCGTTCATGAGCATCGGTTAAAGACGTGCAGTTTAATCTTGTGTCAGGGATGGTTTATTATTTCATACTAGCAATTTGCTTTTGTGCATATTTTTGTATACGCGCTGGACTCCTGAACAGGTGGAACATTCCAGGTCATACCCTCTATATTTCAGTTTTTTATTTGATTATGGAATTATTCTTGTTTTTGTTCATATACAATATTTATCAGTAAATGCACAAAAAAAATGTAAACGTAGTTCATTTAAAAGCATTTAAACCTCTAAAGAGATGTGTTTAGTAAAACTATAGTCTGTAAAGGTAAAACCAATTTTGTTAGGACTTTACATTGTGACAGGGAAGTTATTTATTTGTTATCTTTTTTGGGCTTTGCACTTTGTAGACTGTCCCTGCGCACGGGGCTGCAGATATTGTTTTCCAGCTCGGAGGACGGCGTGTATCGACTTGTTTTCATAGAAATCACCGCTAGCTCTCTAGTAGCATTCCCCGTCCATCCCAAGGAACCTCTCTCCATTCCGATTCCCAACCAGAGGCATATTTAGGGTTGTAGGAGAAGTTGTTGAGCGGGGGGTGCTATTGTTAGTAGTGCCCTGGCCCTGCTAGTTCTAGTGGTGTGTACTCTTCCTGCACCACAAGATTTCGAGGTGTACAAATCTGGGCCATTTATTGTGTCCAATGCTTCTGGTCCGGCAACGGTTAGTAGTATTGCTATTTTTCTAGACTTTGTATCCGCTCCGACAGCTGCAACGTACAGCAGAAACTGATGCTTGAATGTCCTCCATTTCGCATCCACATTTCCAGTCAGATTTAAGAGAAGGGTGCAGCTGCGGCCGCGGCCAGTGGAGGTTGAACCTTTATATATACAGGCCCAATCCCAAACCACTCCCTCGACCCTACACCTCCGTGACGGAGTGAACTCCGTCTGTAGCCACACTCGCAGCTCAACGAGGCTCCCTCCTGTCAGATGGAGGGGGTAAATACTAGACCCTC